TGAATAACAAAGTACGTAAAACCTCCGTAATCTGTGATATCAACTGGGTTTCCGGTTTTTAATCATTGTTAGTATATACAAACCATGTGTACAGTCGATCTAACTTCACCGCTCGGAGATTTGTCACATTTGCGTAAACAAATGGGTAAACTGTATCTGTTATCTTCAAATCAACTAGGGCGGATCGCGTGAGTAACGTTCCGATTAACCTATGTGTATGTTTCTAGAACAAACAGATTTTTAACTGATCCACTATGTGTTTACTGTAGGTCAGTTAATCTTTTTAGCTGTTCAAGGTATTAAACCTGTTATAATTTACATAAAACAATTATGCAAACCTACTTGATATTGATGACTTGATTATAAGTGAATGTATATTTATGCGGTAGACAACAGGATTGGTCAAGTTTCAGTGGTTGCACCCATTCGTGTCGGTGTTGTGACAACATTGGCATTGAAAATGATCAGTGAGCACCGCAATTGTTCTAGGATGAGACACTTCTCGTCTACTATCATGTTACTTACATTTACAGAGGTCGAAAGAAGTCGGACGATTTCTAGGAATGTTGTGTCTGTCGCTTCAGGCTTGTGAGTATCGATTTAACGGTCGGCATGACAATGTAGTAGTAGCATACAATGAACTGTTATCAACAAATATTTGACAAAATAGATCTATTTCTCGCCATTGTGTTAAGTCGCGTGACATGCAGGTGACAGAACTCATGTGACATATTGACCAATAAATGTACCTAAACTCATTGTCCATCGTAACCAAATATAGTAAGAATTATCAATCTCTCACACTCATCGGTGTTTTCCTAATTTACACTCTGCGGCTTCAACTATGAGCACGCAATCCCGGAATAGTCCGAATTGTTATAGTCATTAGTATGGGTGTTGATTTCCCCAGAGCTTACTCGAATTACTTACCTTGTTTCGTCATTCACTCTTGTATTCAGTGGTGAGTAAGGCATATTATTGTTGTTTGTTCAGACATAAAGCTTGGTGCTTTTTGTTTTCCAACTGGCGTTTAATTGAGATTGAACATTCTGAACCAGCAATTTGGGTTTCTGCGTTTCCATTTAGAGCGTGCGTTCACGTTTGATTAATGTTGTGCACTGGTGATCCTTTGAATAAGCTTCGTCCGTAGATAGTAAATTTGAATCAGGCCTCCCGGTAATCCCAATTCACTAGCACTGAATTAGGGTGGATAAACAGAGTTCATCTCAGGTTTTTAGTTTGCACGGGCGACAGAGTAACTACAGAACGAAACTGTCATGATGCGATGTGTTCAACCAATCCAGTGGATTCTGATTCGAAACCGGTTTCGGTGAAGTGTTTACCAAGAAGTGATATCATGACACGCTCGATGTACACACACACACACTTTTATAAGCTCAACAAACACGTGTTCTCAAGAGGAATTGACGTATTTTTTGGTTTAGAGGGTATACTCGATACACTCACGTTTTACGTAGACGTTCTGTTTTACTTCACTTGCAACAGATAACCATTCGGTGTTTTGCAAGTGATCATACTGTTGTACACAGACCGTCCATTTGTGTCATTTAACCGAGGTTATTACGCTTCACAATTGTGGGGCCCATTTGTTCCGAATGACTTAGTGAAGAATGTCATAGAAACAACAATCACGAAACTATTTGAGTGGTGAAGGTGCACATTTTTTATTAGCTTATCAATGACACGAGTTATTGATGAGTAGTCGGTGGTTTTGATCTTCATATGGATTGAACTTCATTCGCAATTGATCGCAGCTATCACATTCCCATAGACTTTCCAGTCGGTCCCTTTCGAAAAGCAGCACTAGACTAGAGTTGCCCTCTCATTAGAACTCGTCATTAGTGCATATCCTTGCTACGGTCGGGACGAGAAATCCGGTCACGATTTCATAAGGGATCATCGATTGGAGTTAACAAGATATTTACTGTATCTCCTCTCGAGGCGATCGGGCAATCTGATCATTACTCACAAACGAAAATGGTTGAGTGTTCACATATATTAACTCGGGCCGTGGCTAGAATATGCACTACTGACGAGCTCTAATGAGAGCGAAACTGGAGTCTAGTGCTTGTTTTCGAAAGGGACCGACTGGAAAGTCTATGGGAATGCGACAGCTGCGATCAATTATGGATGATATTCAGTCTGCGTGAATTATTGTTGACGTCCGCGTTATCGGAAAACGGTTATGTCAATGAAGCGTGCAAACAACTGGTTTCCGTTGTTCTATCACATTTCTTGATCACTGAACAGGCTATTCATTCGGCTTGTATATTCAAAATTCTATAACGCCGTTGTAATTCAAGGATCTTGCGGTTTGTTGAAGCGATCTCAATCAAACAACAACGACAACACCTTCGGCTTCCTATGCTCAGGAATAGTCGTTCGTCATCTTGACCCTACCTTGGATTTAATGACCTACCGTAACCGAATAACTGACTATCGATTACATCGGTACAAAAACGAGTAGTGTTCATATTGGTTGGAAGTTGATTTTTTGATCTTTCTGCAATTCAGCCAGATATGCTCTTGTAATGTATTTGTTATAGTTCTTTTGGCAACATTCAATGAGAATTGACATTAGGTGCCAAAATCCGGTCGTTACATTCGAATTAGGTCTCGAAAACTGTCTGCCTCTTCTAACTGTAGTTGAAGGTCGCCGTCTATTATTTCCTGCATGTGAACATGAACTCTTCTGAACAGAACTGTTAACACCCATCTTGGTTTATTTGCCGACCTCTCATTTGGTCAGGCGATTTTTTTTGGTGAAATATGCTAAACTTTGTTGGTCACGGTGTGACCGATTTATGGATAATCAACTTTCACTGATTCTTCGATACCCTTTTTTAAAAATCTATTTTAGGCCATTAATCCATCCGTGCTGACGCCAACATTTCGGCTTGTGCAGGCACTTAGGGTTGCATGTGCACACTTCACTTGACGATCCGACATCTCAGTAAGACCAAACAGGCGTTTCGAATGGATACTGTGCGACGTGAAGTGTTGGGCGGTCATAGTTTCTTTGCTGTGTATATATTTGTCTGATTGACTTGCCCCTCATGTATGCTGGATTTGTCGTTTCCCCCTTTCTTACGTTTGTGGAATTTCTTCACGCAGTTGTACGTACACAAGGTTCCCTTATGATCAAGCGTATAAGTGGAGCATCTTTTTGTCAACAACCGTAAATGTAAGTTTATATATCGCTATTTACACAATTGGACAAACCCACTAACATGTGTGGTCGCATTCGAGCTCAACATGATTATGTTATGTTGATAAACGACTAATGGGAATCAAAACCGACTGATGCTGCTGACTATTTTTCGCGAGTCGGTGGTCGTCTCTCCTAACGAAGAATGTTGGAACTCAACGAAACTGAAGCTTAGGTTACAAAGCACAAGAACCTCAAAATGATCGATTCAGATGACCTCAGCGCAGTATGTGTCATATGATGTCTGGAGTAAACAATCCACAATGTTTGCTCTGACCAAACGAAACCAGTTCATTGCGACAGCGGATCCAAGGTTACCGATTCAGTATGATTTTCCGTATATGGTCGCGTTTATTTGTAACACCGGTCTCAGACGTACCCATTGCCTCTGCGCACTACGTTTACCTTCTGGCGCACCTGCCCAGTTCAACTGTGCACTGCTTTGTAGATAGCGAAGGACTTTGATACACATCATATGCCGTTAGTTTAGCTATCCTGGCATGCGTTTTGTAATCATACTTATTACGTTTTGGTCTTCCTCTGTTATTAGCCACAATTTGGACGATAGAACGACTCGATTTTGTCTGGCATGCTGCATCGAATCACTGGATTATTTACATCGGCACGGTATCATTTATCGGGATTTGAAACCAGAAAATATGTTGATCACCGCTCGGGGTTATATTAAAATGGTAAGAGCAGTAGTTAGTCCTTCAAACTATCTCTCCGTTTACTGTGGTCTTCGTTGAGTTTTTCAGTTAATACTGCTTCTGAACTGAATGAACAAACTGCATGACTAGAATTGAAGTGCACATTTTGTCGGTCATTTGTTCTCAGTGCTCACATATTTGTTGTCCTCGTTTGAAATTAGTCTTGTTTGGCCATGTGCTAACTTAAAATATTATGAGTTTGTGGTTAATGACCCGTTTGTGAGTTGTCTTTAGATGTTTGTGTCAGCTTCGGTGGAATACGTGGATTGAGTACAGATGCCCTAAGCACACTTGCAAACTTACTGGATGCACGAGCACCTGATGCGTGACAGTAACTAAGATACCGGTTGTGTGCTTGTGTGTCGGGTGAATGTTGACCATTAAACACACAGTGCGTATATGGCGTCTTACACTGTAAGATTATAATGCCATCTAGGTTCTTGAGGCATACTGATTTTCTGCTCATTCTCTGCAAGTGCTCTTCATATCTACACCAATCTACGAGTTCCATTGAATGTGCAGTAATAGGCAGAAATAAATAAACATCCTTTGTTCACATAGTACAGTATGCCGTTGGGGTTCGTTGAGTACACAGGCCTGGTTACTAGCAACAGTAACGAAATCGGTACTCCGTCTCACCATCAAACACATGTTTCAAATAACATCTTAATTGAAAGGTTTCTTTAGAAAAGACCCAATTGCAAAACATCTGGACTTCGGCTGGATTCGAACCAGCAACAGAGACAAATTGCTCAAACGCGGCAAATGCTCTACCAACTGAGTCACGAAGCCATACCAGAAACTCCGAAATGTCACATTTGAATACAGCTGAAGTCCAAATTGTTTGCAATTGGGTCTCTTCTAAATTATCAAATCTGCCAAACTACTTATCAGTAACACAAATTCAGTGCTGTTCCGTAGCATTGATGGATTCCACCATGAACTGATTGAGAAAATCAGCTTGGGCAGTCAGTCGGCTGGATCGTTTGGTGGATTTCCTATGACGCAGTTGTTTGAATGAGTAATTAGGTCCAAATGTGAAGTTTCTGATCTTCTGGCATGGCTTCGTAGTTCAATTGGTAGAAAATTTGCAACATTTGGGCATGTTGTTTCTGTCGCTGGTTCGAATACAGCCGAAATCCGGATTTTTCGCAGTTGGGTCTCTTCTAAATTATCAACTCGGCCAAACTGCTTGTCAGTAAAAGATTTCTATTTATTAACTTACCCGTTGGAATTTTGACGTCTGTTTTTGAGGAGGCATTACAATTACTTTGGTCATTGCTTCTGTACCTGTGTATTGAATTGGTGAGACCGTCGGAGATAATCGACTTCGTATTGACTACAGCTACTACGTATGGCATATTCCTATAAAAACACTTTTTTTGTCTGCTCACGACCACCCTTTGCACACATCATATATATACTGATTGTCCGACCTTCACTTCACACTTGGCGTCATCATTGGTAACAGACAGCGTTTTTTTCTTCTGTCTGTTTTCTTACATATCACTTACTAGTACAGAAACAAAACCAAGGCTTACATGTAATTAATACATACATTTACCATATGGGTTACCTATTCATATTTAGCAACGCATATGCGCCCGTTTATTATAGGCAGCATAGTTAACCAGTGTAATTTATTCAAACGAGGAGATACACAAGGACTGCGTTTATGCCATTCAAATAGGCATTTCCTTTCCGAACACTTACCGTTTTCACTTTGACAGTAGTCTATCCATTCGAATTGGAAAACGTACTATTGGGTGACAAACACTTCATCATTGGTCTATGTTGTGACCCTCAGAGATAACGACACGAACAAGTGATCAAAATACGTTACTCGAACGGCCCGTACTGTCACTTTTTTGACGGTCTCTGGAGTGTTTTATTTTGATCCCGATGAATTTTTGCCAGGAGACGAGTGCGGATCTCGATTCCTTTCGGGGACGTGAGACGGTAGATTAGAATCTGGTATGAGACCTTAGGTGATAGTATTTGCTTCAGTGATTATCGATTCTGTCATCGCACTATCTTCTGAACGGCCGCGAGCATCGATAGTGGGTGTTGGATTGGAAGGACTCCTCAAAAATGCTAATCAGCTTCTTGACAGTTTCAACAAAAAGGGTAACTCTTAGGTTCTTCGGCAAGGTGTAGTAATAATACCGTTTCTGTTCCACTGAACTAAGTTCGCGGGGCTATGGTCAAAGTTTCCACGACTCTACCTGAAGAGCCAGGTTAATATTGAAAAATTCTTCGTACAGCTTGAACCAGGACTCATATGTGATTTTGACCAAGAGTCGAGCGGATATTTGAAAGTACTGTTCGTGGTGTGCTCCATCTTTAGTTCGGTCAGTTTTACAGTAAGTGTCTTCTCCATTCGCATCTGGCGCTGCATCATCAATTTCATATCAATGTAACTCTCGACTGTTGTATGGTGGAGACCCCGTTGTCAGTTGTTACGACTCACGAAGATGGTAACTCATACGAGAGATTGTCGTACACCACTTGTAAGATTCTCCCAAATATCTACTCGATAAAACTGAGCAACAGAGCGCGCTTTCTCCGATCGACTAGCCTCGAATCTGTCTTGACTGAACACAACTCTAACACACGAGGACGCAAAAGGTTGTCCTACAAAAGAGTTATAGCCAAGCGCGCGGTCAAAAAATACAACTAGATCGGAGTACATACGTATTTATGTGATTGTAGACCAATCAGTGAACGAGACATGAACCAGTCAGTCAGAAGGACATTAAATAGACTGATGCTAAACGTAATACAGAAGAGTCGTGAATACTTCTTAAAAGATAGGAATCAAAGTCGACCGTTGAATTTAAAATTTCAGTAGTAACAATATTTTGGATCCTATGGTGGCATTAAAATAAGTTTTGAAGAGGAATAGATTTTCTCCGACAATCCATCATCAGGGCTTATCTGCGCTGCTGGTGTATTCACGGGAACATTGTCAAATATGAACACGACCTGGGTGCCTGACTGTTTTTGACTCCAACTCCATCGGACCGTTCTTCCATAACTTTATGAAATACGTGACATTTTTTGTGTGACATGCATACTCAGTATGGTCAATAATCGCATGGCAAGTCAGCATAAAACGCTAGATGAAAGCGCTTGTAAGCGTTGCGAAAACACTTTCAACCTCGCCGGGTTACACGGGATGTCAACATACAGCGTCGTTGCGTCTTATCTGTTGAGTTCCTATCATAGAACATAATCAGAACGTCTCCGCTTCATATTTTCGAGGTTAAGCTCGATTAGTTTGATAGACGATTTTTTCAAAAAGTATTAATGAACATTCAGACAACGGTCAATCGACGATGAACTCATAGATGCTCCTGGGATCTCTAATTTCGCTTTCTTTCTAAACCTTTGGACAGATGTGTGAGATTATTCGTCCACAGTAGAACAGGCGTTTTTATAGCTGCGTTGCTACCTCTTCACTTCAGCTCAACTTCACGATCAGAAGCGATAGTTTATCTGAACACTTGTGTGTTAGTCTCTAAACGTACGAAATGGATTTCGAATCCCCATAACAGCAAACACACTGGATTATTCTTTTTTCGTCGTCACCGCTGGTAAATCGTCTTTGTTTTCAGACGCTGTTCAGATCAGCGGTTACCGTTGTTGATTCATTGTTCCACGTAGATGGATGAGGATATTTACATTAGTACTGGGATCTCAGCCATGCCTGGATGGTTTACTTGTGTGAGAAGCAGACTCTCGGTTCTTCAGTCTCTGGGCTCTTTCACAAGCGACCATCTGACCTTGCCTAGCAAAGTCGACAGTTTCTTACGCTTAGCCAAAGCTGTTGAGGTTCTTTTTTAGGGTCGAATCACGTCACCGATGGATTTGGTATTCATCACCTCTTGCCGAAATTCGAACGTTAGCAGTTCGGTCCTACAGCTTTGCTGGTAACGGTCTTCCAACATCCATCGAAGCAATGACGTGGATGACAAGTCTTTTCGATGCGTTCGCCCTCCCACTCATGGTTACGCTTGCAAACCATGTAAGCGGAGCGGCACAGTAGAGCAGGCAGTAATCTAGGTAGCAGGGAGCAGGGTGGCAGCTCAGCGGAGGTTGTGTCGACGGTCGCGGGCGGGCAAACATACCATATGATGAGCTTGCGCGCGGGAGAGAAGTTTGACCAATCGACGGACTGTGAAAAGCAAGAATTGACCATTGTACGGCTAACGCAGCGCGATTAGGTTAAATCGGTTGGCTCGTCTCACAGATAACCAAAATTCTAGGATGGCTGCTAATGCTATTGGTAAGTCGATTGAGAATAACACAACGTTACGATTAATATGTAATACTGTACGTTTCAATCACCTCGAGTGGCCTTCCACACGACACCCAAACTGTTTGATTTCACTCTTACTAAATTTGGTGTGGATATCTTACAGCTGCTAATGCGTTCAAGTCGGTCACTCTGATCTCGTTGCTGTGACCACAGTGACAAGTACCTACTTGTAATAATGAGAAGCAGATATTGCCGATAGGTTTGTACGTAACTGCCGAGGCAGTCGATCCTCTAAATCATTGGGTGGATTCCGCATGAAGCAGTAGGATGGGTGGGTCCAAATGTGAAATTTTCTAGCTCCTGTTGTGGCTTCGTAACTCAGCTTTCGAGCGTGCTATTTCTGTCCCTGGTTTGAATCCAGCCGTAGTCAAGGATTTTCACAATTAGATTTCATCTAAATTGACTAGTTAGCCAAACTACTTATTGGTTCCAGTGTGCTAGGGACAATTGAATCACCATAACGAGCAGTCTTAATGCCACAGGGCTAAAGCATCCCATTTTTAAATTCTCTGTACACGAGGTGATAAAGGGATCCATATTTACACTTCTTGATGTATGTCATTGTAAAAATTTGCAGATTGGTTTTGCTGACAAATACTTCTCATACTGTTCGTCGGCTCTAAGCGTGGCTACGAATTAGAAGACTAGCGTCTTCGCAACTAACTTGGTACGATTCTGGCATTTTGAACGGGCATTCTAGAAAGGCGCATTATGAGACCTTCATTTTTTGAACTAACATCACAAATGAGGTTATGTTGCAGCATCCGCAAAGTTATTATCCCTGGATACATCTTGGTTTTCTTCACCGAAAAGCTATCTGACTATTTGAGCATTTCATACTGGTTTCTGAGCCCTTTCATGGACATCTGGACGATGCGTCACTGCAATGCGTTTTGTTTGCGAAATTGTTCGGATGCCATTTGAACAGTTGTGTGAAACCAGTGGCGTAGTTTTTTGCACACGTCCTGCCTTTCATTTTATGCTCTTCAGTGTGATTTCGGATTTGCCAAGTTCATCGGAATTGGTCAGAAAACGTGGACATTTTGTGGCACCCCCGAATATGTGGCTCCCGAAGTGATTTTGAACAAAGGTCACGATTTTGCCGCGGACTATTGGTCATTGGGTATATTGACATTTGAGCTGCTCACGGGCACGTAAGTCTGTTATCGTGTCTCTCTTAATATCCGTACTCTAAACAGATCAATCAAATGTCGACATAATGATCGGATGCATTTTGTGTTTGGCTCATTTTGTGTTTTCTTTTGTTTTGTCAGACTACTGCCAAGGTGCATCACCCAGTATCCTTTGCTTTTGCCTCTAAACCTCATTATTGGAAAAAATGGTTTATTTTAGGGGTTGTGACGTCGCGTCTACTTTTATTTTATTGCATTTTGTTAGACGTAATGATGGAAAATTCAGAGACTGGCTGACTTTCTTACATTCAAAGTCATCTTGTCTGCGATAGATCTGCCACACAGTTCTGTTGTTTTGACCGAATTGTTTGTCACTTGCAGCCGTGTAGTTTCAACACAGTAATCAACACTCCAGCTGATTTAAAACTGTCATCGAACCATCGCATTCCTATCAGGAAACGAACGAGAATGAGTGAAAACTCCTCAAAGTTTTGACTTGAACACCTTACACATACGATGATTACAGCTTTTATATTCAGGTAGAATTTATAGCCAGTCTCTTTCGAAAAGCAACAATCACCTTGAGGCTAGCTCTCGTTGAGGCTAGTCATCGACAGATATTTGAACTCAGGCAAACGTTATCCAGCAACAGTGATCATCAGTACTGCTAACTCGATTGTGTGGTCAA